CAGCAGCATCGAGGCGTTCAGGGCACTGTGGGGACACGCAGCAGCATCGAGGTGTTCAGGGCACTGTGGGGACACGCAGCAGCATCGCTTCCAGACTCAACGGTTAGGTGGGTGGCCCAGAAGGAACTTGAAGGTTAGGCCAAGGTGGTGATGGTGGTGCTTCAGCATTACTAGGCTTCTATCCAGCAACTTTGGAGTTTAGATGCCATTCTCATTGGTGCATCTTTGAGTTCTTTAATCTTCTTTCGGGCCTATAAGTTAGGGGTGATGGCTAAGCCATTGTTTTGTCCAGTGGGAAGGCCAGAGCTCCTGTCAGAGCCAGTCAGCTTCTTGATGCTAGTGACAGGCTGGGCCTTTGGGTTTTTGTCGCACATTGGACCTAAGCAGGCAGTGTGGCCCCGAATGACTCGGGGCCCTTTCCTAAGTGACTATTAGTAGTTCAGAGCCATCTTTTGAAAGGCAGAACTTTCTTCCCTACTCTCTCCCCATCATTGCCCACAGATGGCCCTGAACTCTCTCCCCATCATTGCCCACAGATGGCCCTTAGCTGGTTTTTGTTTTTTGTTTTGACACCTCAGTCTTTTGACAGTGTACCTACAATTTAGCACCATGGCCTACTCCTGTCATGACCTGGGAGTGGAAAGTGTCATCACAGATGGGGTAATGTCACTACATCCCCTCACCCTATGGAGTAATTCCTGCACCCGTCAGCCCTGACCACGTGGCTATCAGGAGCGACCGTGGCAGGTGCTAAGAGACTACTTCCCCTGTGCTCAAGGGAATTTGGAAAATTAGATGGTTTTAAGGCGTGATTATATGGTGCTTTACATGCATGATCCATCTAATTAATTATTACAATGAGGTAGAGAGAATATTATTCTTCTCATTGAACAGAAGAGGTTTGAATAAATCACCTCAAGGCACAGCACAGGTGAGTAGCAGGACAGAAATTTGAACTCAAGTGGGTAGGACTCTGAAAGACATGTCCCTTTCTTGTCCACATTGCAGACTGAATGAGCCAGGGAAAATACCTGAAGTGTCCTTACAGTAGATATTGTCCTGTGAAGGCAGTGGAGGGTGGAGGAGGACTTTCTGATGCCTCCCTGAGGACTTACAAGATCGTTTCTTCCAGAATCAGAGCCACCCACAGCTAGCCCTCACTTTAATTCTGACAACTGAGTGATTGTTTTCCCCGTGTCTTCCCATCAAACAGATCTCTTCGGTGTTTGAATTTGTTGTCTCTCCCAATTCATTGTCAGTTCAATGTATTTGTCTGCCTTCAGGATGATTAGGTAAACAGAAAACGAAATTGGAAGTAATATTAAATACAAAGGAAGTTGGGGCAATGATGTGTTTTGAAAAATGAAGTGGATGTATATATCCTTGTACCCAGAGGGAAAAAGAGAAAACAAGGAAAAAACCCTAAGGTGCGTAGGCAGGACGGAGGCAGGGATGGATCTGTGGAGGGGTGAGGTGTCCGATGCTGGAAGATTGGGCCAGACACCTTGATTGCTATCAGGGGAGTCAGAAGCCCCAGGGCAGGTTTAGCAGAAAGTCAGTTCCCCATCCCTGGCCCTGGCCCTAAGTCAGGGCTCCCCCAACCACCAAGGCAAATTGAACTGGCACCCTCCTCTGGTGGGCCCGGGCTCCCTGACTCACAGAGTGTAGGAGCAACACCTTTCACCACTGGGAAAACAGCCCACCACTTGTGGAGGGGAAACGGGCTCTCCAGTTTGACTGGGTGAGCCTGTGTAGATCCAGGCAGGAATCCAGAAAAGAGGAGGAGGAATTAGTTAACAGATGGGAGGATGTGAAGACTTGCAGTTCTGGGCTAATTTTTAAAACAGTATTGGCCGATCTCGGCATGGCGAGTGTTGGGGTGCAGGGGTTGTGGGTGGGTGGGAAGGGGAGGGCCTGGGACAACTCTGAACACTCAGGGTATGTGAACAGGCTGTGGCCACACCCATAGGCCTCATTTAACACCATCGTGTTTTGTTGTTGTTTTCTCTTTCAGTATCAAAGAAGCTGGCACCAATTCCACCCAAGGCCCCCTTTGGCCAGCCGGGGGCCGTGGCTGACCAGTGCACGGGCCAGCCGTCCCCAGTCAGCCTGTCTCCCACTCCCCCAAGCACCCCATCACCCTACGGACTGAGCTACCCCCAGGGGTACTCCTTGGCCTCAGGCCAGCTCTCCCCAGCTGCAGCCCCTCCCCTGGCCTCTCCTTCTGTCTTTACAAGCACTTTGACCAAATCACGGCCCACTCCCAAGCCCCGACAGAGACCCACCCTGCCGCCTCCTCAGCCTCCCACGGTCAGCCTGTCAGCCTCTAGTCCCCAGTCTGTGGAGCCCCCCACGCTGGATGGCATGTCCCCCGGGGAGAGCATGTCTACAGGTAACCAAGCCACATGTGCTCCCTCACATTCCTCTGTGAACCACAGTAAAACGAGCCTGGTGCCACGTGTTGCTTCTAGGAGGACCTCAGGAGCCCAGCAATGGGGGGCAGCCCTGAGACTGAGCAGAGGGGCGTGTTAGGGGATTTCTCCCAGGCTAAACCTGCCAGCCCAGGGGGCTATTTCTGCTCTTAATTTTTGGGCTTAAGCACTCTGAATCCTTTGGAGTAGGCCCTGTTGGTTATGCTAACAGAACAGCATCAAAAACCTCACATGAGGTATTCCCAGAGCAGAGCCCAGGAGACTGACGGGTACAAATGTTTCTCTGGAGAACAGCGGCTAAGCACCAAAGATAATTTTCCATATGAGTAAAATAATACTTGGTAGAAAAACATATTTCTAGGTCTGTAGAGAGGCATCAATAGCAGAAAAGTTACGTGTCTCTACCACCTTAGTCCCCCCTACCTGTTCTTTGAGGAGCTAATTGGACAGACCCACACTATTTAATTTAGTTTTGATTTAAATTTAAAAACAAAGGCAGATCTATCTTCTTTCCCCTTAGAAAAAAGATGTAAGCATGAAATCTCGCACACACACACACACACACACTCACGCACACCCCACGTTTAGCTAAAACCATTCACTAGTTGGAAGAAACAAGCTGTTTCTGAAACATCTCTCCAGACATGTCAACCACATAAGGTTCTAATGTCAGGAGCGTGTCTGTGGCGGCCGCGACGGTCATGTGAGCCTTGTTCTTGTTCAGGAAGACAGGCAAACTGTTGGGCTCTGTCTTGGAATGGAGCCAACCTGTTTCACCGCAGGGCAGAGAGCCTGGGCATATGTCTGTTCAGAGTTGTCCCAAGGAGCAGAAGGTGAGGGAGCTGAGGTTGGAGTAGCACACATGTGTACACACTCATGCACTTGCCACGTGAAACCATGCCCTCCCAGGTTCTAGGGCGCACTGGGCCTCTCACAGATACCCACTTTTGTGCTAACATCCTTCCCCAAAGGAGTGATTTCTTTTTCCTTCGGTTAGATAGGAGCAGTGAGTGGGGTTCAGCTCCTGGCTGCCTTTGAAAAAGCTAGTCCAATTTGCCAGTGTTTGCGGTGGGTCCTATTTAAATATTATGGGGAAGAGCCATCTGGGGAATCTGGCTTTCTTTATATTTGGTTGTGATTAATGCTGAATGTACAACTGCTGTCATCTACCCTGAGGCTTATTAAAAATTAAGTCCTCAGTGGTGACGTTTCCTGAAGGGCCTGTGGTGGGAGGCACAGGCCTGAAGGAGGCAACACTGGCCTGGGGAGCTTGTGGTCACCCAGGTCAGCTCTCGGGGCTGCTTCTCCCATCCACCTACCCCAAGGAAGGAACATGGCATAGTGTCCACATTCCCAGCAGTAGAAGCAGGGATAACACTCAGGAGAGCAGAAAAGAGTAAAACGAGAGGAGAAATGTGGGAGCAGAAATGGGCAATAGAAAGAATGACAGCACCCCTGAGCTCTCTAGGAGAAGTGGAATGACTGGCCTACCATCGTGAAGGTCTGAGAACCGCTGTAGGATTAACAATGCACCTTGCCTCCTGCAGACACTGTTCTGTTTTAATGTCCTTTTGGTGGCAGACTGTCGTTTTGTCCCATCTGTCCAGGCCTGAGCCAGTGCAGACTCCGTCATGGTTTGGTGTGGCCCACCTGGGACTGTGATTTTGGCATAGTTTTTTGTGACGTTCTTGTTTCGTCGTGTTGATTCCTTTCTCCGAATCCTGTCGTTGTGTTCTTGCAGCTGTGTGACATGAGTGACGCAGTTTTGGATACGTGTGAGGGGGATTTGCAGGGTAAGCTGGCGCCCCGGCCTCGCCCCCTCTTCCCGTAGCCAGGCCCAGCTGCCGCCCGCTCCTCTCTCCGCTCCTGTCTCTGCATGTGGCTCTGCCCATCCGCACGGCTGCTCCACCCTCCAGCCTTCCCGATCTCAGCAAGGAGGAGCTGACCCTTGAGCTCGTTTGGCGTGGAGGGGTCACTGGTCTTGTTTCTTTCTCTGTGTTAGGAGGAGCTGGGGCCAGCAGGCCTATCTCTCCTGTGCCCCGCCTTCCCGGTCCCCAGTCACCTCCCTGCAGTGCCTCCTCTCTCCCTCACGTGTAGAAGGTGAAGGGTGTAGATCTGTTCAGATGGCAGATATGTGGGAGGGTTTTGTGCCTAGTGCCCTGGGGGACTTTCACTTTTGCTTAGGAAGGGGCCCTGAGGGGAGGCCACTCCTGGTGCAGCTTGGCACAGGGTCCACCCCCACAGCCTGGACCCCGGTCCCTGTGGCTGTGAGTTTGCACTGACAGACTCCACTTCCAGATGCAGGCTCTAATGTCCGTATTCTTCTGGTCTGGTCTGAGTCCACTGGCAAGCCCTGGAGTGTCCGTAGTGTCAGAACTCAGCCCAAGCTCCCCTTGCCCCATCCTAGGTGTATGTGGCCAACCATGTCCTTTCTAGCCAACAGTAAAATATTTTAGGAGCATTTTTATCAGTATCTGCTCGGTCTCCTCCTATAAAGAGCAGGCACTCAAAACTAAAACCACGGCAAGAAAGTGAAAGAAGGCAGAGGAATTTGGGGTATCTGCCTCAGTGGGGAGGGGCAAGCCATGGCTTTCCCGTCATCTTGGCCTTCATCCTACAGAAACTCAGGCAGGTGTCCTGGCTTGAAGAGAAGTCACTGCTTCCCTTCCCCAGAAATGCTGGTGAGGGCTTCTCCAGAGCCCTGATCCTTTTATAAGTGGTTCTATCTCTCAGAGTCTCTTTGAGAGAACAGCAAGGATGGTGTGGCAGGGACACCAAGTGCCTGTCTTGAGCTTGTCTAAACTTGTCACTCATTCACTGCTGAGTTGCAGGGAAAGTCAGAAATTTGTCCAAGGTCACACACATATTGTGTGACAGATTTGGGAGTTTGAATCAAAACAGTTGAGCTTATGCTTCCGATAATGAACCCTGCACAGTGGGTGGGCTACAGGCTGGTACAGCCTCACACTTGGGCATGGGGCAAAGGGGAGGGCAGAGGCAGGCCTGGGACCACGGTCACCCTGGGAGGCAGAAGAGCCACCGCCTGAGCCTCAAAGCCCCTAAATCTTTCCTCCATCAGGCAACTAAACAAAGACAGGCTTGGTGACATTTAGAGGACTACCTGTGGGGTGAGGGAGGAGGACCTTTGTCCCAGAGCTTCCATGTTTGTATGACCTCATTCGGACAGTGTCGGAATGTCTGTTTGTGCACGCAGTATGGTATTCCTCAGTCTGAACATGTGTCCTACAGATCAACAGGGTCAGAAACACCCTGTCCTGAGCGTGGTCCAGGGCTGCTCCCCTGCCAGCCCACTGCCTCTGTCATCCAAGGCTAAGCGAAGGCCAGAAACTAAGCAGCAGAGTTGGGGAGATAGCATGACAGGGTAAAGGGCCCCAAGATCTTGGCTGTCTGGCTTTAACATACCCTAGTTTGCTCCTGCAGCCCCAGGAAGCAGCAGGCTCAGCCTCACCAACGTCCACCATGGCCAAGGCTACAGCTCCAGGGCCATTTCCAATGTGAGTGTTCAGCAAGGGTCTTATACAGATGGAGCTGCTGGTGGCTGTCCCCTTTGCTGACTCACAGAGGGCCACACTGAGCCCTGTTACTCCAGGTACATCCTTCCTGATCGTCTCACCAGGAAGAATGACCTATGGCGCTCCTACCAGGGCTGTGACCAGAGTTGGGGGTTTTCCCAGTGTCAGGGAACCCACAGCTTGCTGCTGTGACTTCCATCCTCCTCAGGGAGACTCTCTGCTCCGCCTCCACCAGCTGTCCACAAGGTGGCAGTTTCTGAGTGAGGACACAGGCTCAGGGTGCCCCATTCATTCTCAGACTTGGGAGAAGGAGCAGGTCTTTTCTGCTGTCTGGGGCCCTGTCCCTGCAGATTCTAGGAACAAAATGCAGCCTGATATAGATCCCCCAAACGAAGTCGCCAACACCTGCCCAAGAGCATCGTATCAAGAACCAAGCACCCGGTAGGCTAGCAGGGTCATGCTGTTCTAGCCTTCCCGTCCTAACAGCCTTGCCCCATCCCAGACGCTACGGTGCTGTGAGCTTACAGGCAGGCCCCAAGACAGCCAGATCGTGAGCAAAATGCTTAAATCAGCCTCCAAATGACCCATCCCTAGAGCAGCTTCCCCACCTTGCTGCCTAATGCTCTCACTGACAGCAGCCGGAAGCCCCCTTAACGACCTCTCTCCCTGCCCCAACTTGCAGATCTTGTCCACTTCGACATCCCTTCAATCCACATAGAGCTGGGGTCGACACTTCGCCTGAGTCCCCGGGAGCGTGCGCCACGACACTCGGTGACTGACAAGAGGGATGAGGAGGAAGAATCTGAGAGCACTGCCCTCTGACGCACACCCGCCCATCCAGCACCCTGTACATACACACGTGGGCCCGAAGTGCCAGGAGCAGTGTCCCAATCTTGCCAAGTGTTCTCCGTTGGCTCTTTCTGTCACTGCCAACGCGGGGTTGAAGTTTGGCAGAAAATTGTGATCTCCGGTCTGTGGCGAAGCTGGTGGTTCAGATTTTGTCTTTTCCTTTCGGGTGGTGACTTCGGCCTTTTGTTTGCCTTTTGACTTTGTGCCTATTTTGATCCACTTTCAGCTCCCATGCCAAGCAGCATCTATCTCCCTCTCCACCCAAAGGCTTCTCAGTGTCATCCGGAGGGTGGGGTGGTACAGGAGGGACGAGTTGCCTGGTTAGACTCGCGGGTTGCTACTACGTTCCTCCTACAGCTAATGTCAGGTCCTGCAGTTGTCTGCGTGTGGCTACAGGAAGGGAACAGGACAGCAGGGACCTCTCCCCAACAGCTGGACTAGGCCTGGGGTTCTGGCAGTCCTGGCGCAACTGACCTTGATCAGCCCCCTTGAGAGAACAACTTACCACTATAAAAACCTTCTAGGCACCCCCTCTTTCGGTGGGCTCCAAAGTAAATGGCTTAAAAGTTTGTTTCACTTCTTAAACAGTTCTCTTTCCTCACCGTGTGGCTGAAAGCTGCCATTACTCCCTGTCACTTTGAGTTTCCAGGGTAGGACATGACCATGCTGGTGGTATCTTGAAGGCAGCCCCCATGCCTCCCAAAACATTGGCTGAGAGCAGTCCACCCCTCCGGGCACCTAGAGGCACCCCGCTCAAGAGTATGTGATGTCCTAGAGCTGTCTCTTTTGGAGGTTACAACTGAATAGCAATAATTCTGTTACCCAAGCATGTAGGGGAACATGAGACCAGCCACGGAGACCCTGGCTCCCATGTGTGGCCTGCTTTGTCACTGGCCTCTGCCACCCATCCCCTCTCATGAGTCCTACCTGCCCCCAGACAAGGGCCAGGACGGCACTGGGGAACCTCTCCACACTGAGGAATAAGGAAGTGAGACAAGATTTGGGCCATGCATGCAAAGTCAAAAGTTCAAAATTTTATCCTTTTAAAATAGATATAATATACCTATACATGATATAATATTTGTATATATGAAATCTATATTTGTTTAATTTGAGCCATTCAATCTAAACCAATGTACAGGTGTACAATGAAAAATTTAAATGCATAGTTTTTCCCAACACAGTGTAAAGCCACCCTTCTCTGAGCAGGATTTGCAGAGATTTCTGATGTTACGGCTTTGCTCACTTCCTGGCAAGGGCAGTTCAATCCTCAATTTGTAATGGAGTGGGGCAGGGGGGTTGAAAGTTACCTTTAAATACATGTACAAATTATTGTCAAAAGTAATGTTATTAAAATAGATTTATTATCCCTGAGCTTGGCATATGTTTTTAATAAACCCGTGGGGACACAACTATCAATCTTATGCCCTCACGTGCTGTACCAGGGGGGTGCCCAAGGGTCACTGCCAGAGAAGGCAAGGCCTTGCTTTGTGAGCCACTCTGGATACATTCTCCTGGGTAAGGAGACTACACAAATACCAGGTTCAGCTTGGAGAATTTTCTTTTGATTGTTCAAATCAAGCACCAACTTGCGTTTCTAAATCCCACAAGAGGGCAAGTGGACCAGCCCAATGTGACACTTCTCAAAACTTTCAACAACAAACAGTAATCCTCATTCTCATTTAGGGCGAAAGAGCCAATCTGTTGTTTCCATTTTTACCCAGAACAAAAGACTGCATTTCTCTGACCCACCGCACTGGCCCATGATGTGACACAACACTTGAGCCAGCCCAGCTTCTGCCAAAAGCCTCAGCTAACAATGATAGCTCCCCTGCATAGAGGCTCCAGAGGTCCTTGCTGGTCAAGCCTAGCTTCCAGGGCACACCAAGTCCCCGGCTGCATGACACTATGGCATGTGGAACTCTCCAAGGCAGCATTAGGACAGAGTCAAAGAACTCAGGGCACCAATCTCAATCTTTATTGCACCTATGTTTTGGAAATATTATTCCTTGAGTCTTGGAGTCTCAGAGCCACTATTCCCTGCCATTTGGTGTGTCTCTTACGTGCAGAAGGAATCCTTGCTGGACTGGGTGTGGGGTCTACGTGACTTATTTAAAACCAACTTGCAGGCTTGGCGCCTATAGTTCAGCAGCTAGGGTGCCAGCCACATACACCAGAGCCGGTGGGTTCGAGTCCAGCCCAGGCCTGCCAAACAACTACAACCCCCGCCTCCAATAAAAACAGCTGGGTGCTGTGGTGGGCACCTATAGTCCCAGCGACTTGGGAGGCTGAGGCAAGAGAATGGCTTAAGCCGAAGAGTTTGAGGTTGCTGTTAGTTGTGACAACACAGCACTCTATCCAGGGTGACAGCTTGAGACTCGGTCTCAAAAAAAAAAACAAAAAAAACTTGCAATGGAGTTAGTGATGCCTGTTGCTTCTGCTCCACAACCTTGTGTCACACAGCTGTGCCAGGCACCAGTTACAGGTGGCATCTACAGGCCAAGGCTCCCCCAGGCTCAGCCTTGGCACAGCTCACTGCTGCCCATGCTGGGCTGCCTCCTCCTGGTGGGGTCATGCTCTTTAGCTTCCACCAGGCAAGGAGAGCAGATATAGGTGCTGGGCATAGGCCAGAAGATGCAGCCTCAGGGACCGGGGCTACTCCCAGATCTTCACTGGGCTCTGAGCTTCTTGCTCTGTGGGCTGGGTGGCTGCTCTACATGGGACCGTTTCTGCTGGGGCTCCTTGTCCTCCAGGCCAACTGCCAGCTGCCCAGATAAGACAGCGGCCCGCACCAGCCGCAGCTCACGCTTCTCTCTGCGCTCCTCCATCTCCTCAATGTCACCGGCAAACAGGGCTTTCAGGGGGGCAATCAGCTTGGGCACTGTAGGGAAGTCTCCAAAGCAGACCTAGAATGCAAGAGAGAGGACCAGGACACACCTCAAAAGGCAGGGGCAGGTCTGGGAGAGGTTGTGTGCCACACAGCAGCGCCAACTCACTTACAGACCCTCAAGCCCAAGGATGACAGCCTAGAGAACAGGCAGGCCATGGAGGGAGGGAGGAGGGAGAGACGGGGCCATCTAAAGAAAGGAGCAGTCACTGCCCACATCTGGCCTCAGGAAATGGGGCGGGAAAGCAGTCCAGACAGCTGCTGATAAACAAGGCCTGGCCACACCCTACCCTGCGCTCTGGAGGCTGGAGGAGCAAGGCTGACTCTCCTGCACATGAGGTGAGCACCTGCCTCAGGTATGTGCTGAGGCTTAAATGGCAGGACTCTGAACTGTTCAGACCTAAAAGACTCTTGAAAGCTCCCAGTGAACCTGAGGCTGACGTCTACATGGCCCCTGCACTGGGTCACACCATCAGACCTGGTGCTGGGCATGACTGGCCAGTGACAGACAGGTTACCTCTCCTCTGGAAGACCCTGAACCAAAAAGGAAACTCTGAACTACTGTCCTGTATAGTGTGCAAAGTCCCATTTCTCAGCCCCGTCCCCACCCCCACTGCTCATGGGACATACAGACCTTCATGTGGTCAAAGGCAATCCCAACTTTCTCATTGAATTCAGGGCTGAAGAGCGGGACCTTAGCGTATCGCTGGCTGAAGTGGTTCAGCATGATGAACTCTGCATTCATCCGCATCCCCACACCAATGGCTTGGGAAGTTGTGCTGAAAGGAGGACACAGCAGAGGGTGACGCGGCCCTCCACAGCTCAAGGCACCTGGGGGGCAGGTAGCCAGCACCATCCCTCCCTCACACGCTCCCCGAAGCCCACTTAGGGGAATGTGCTCTTCTGCTTCCCAAGATTTGGTCCCCGGCCCCCACCTCTCCTGGCAATTCCCTCACATTGCTTACGGTTTTTATTCCAGCCTACTTCTAATTCTTTCAAGAAACCACGCCCTCCTTACTCCACAACCTGCCTAAGCAGAGGGCCCATGGGAGCACTGCCCAGGTTCAGGAGGTACCCCTGGCACGTGGTGGAAAGCAGGGCTGCAGCGTCAGGACACAGTCCTTCCCCAACAGGCAAATGCAGGGTGCCCAGAGCTTTACTTGGGGGACAGAGGGGGTGGGGACAAGACTTAGTGGCCTTTGCTACCTATGTGTCTTTTCCACAGCCTCCTCTTCTAAGCCATCTTCCAGGGTGGCTTCATGTATCAGGAGGGTGGCATCTTTGCCTGGAGAAAAAGCACAGGCATCAGGGCAGAGTCTCCTGCAAAAGCAGTAGGTGGCCCTGCATCACAGCTGTTCTCAGCCTCACCCTGGTCCTGTGACTTGTAAGGACAACAGACAGAGACCATGGGGCCCGAATCTGCTCCTGCTGACATCTCCCCACAAGCTCCTCTGTGTTACCTCTGGCTGCATAAACCCCAGAATAGCCAGCCTCCGTGTGGCTCATCCCATCCTCCACTCACCCATCTGGACCAGAGCCTCACAGGGCATGGTGTCCCCAGAGTACACCACTTTCCAGCCGGACGTGTGCACCAGTGCACAGCCAAAGGCATGCTTGCAGTGCCGTACCAGGCAGGTCTGAAACTGAGGGGGAAACTGGGCTCAGGCTCTGTGGCTCTGCCCCCACTAGCCCCCCCAACAGCTGGGACCTTACCTCCTTCAAATCACACGCTACCAACAGTGAACTGATGAGTATCTCAACTGTGGGACTGGAGACCTCGGCCCCATTCTGAAGGTATTTGGCAGGGATCATACTGTGAGAAGACAAAACATTTAAAATGACAAGCATTAAAAAACCCAAATTCCTGCAGATCATCTAGGGCAGGAAAAGAAAAAACACTAAACACCTGGAATCCATGTTCAAGTCTTTGACTAGAGAGCCCCAAAATCATTCTTATGAAGAAAAGAAATTTAAAACACAGTCACTAATTAAGGTTGGGAAACAACTGTCAAACAAAAAGATCAAACCACATCCCCCAGGCCATGGTAAGAACTCTAACAGGCCAGGTGGATGGGGCTGCTTCCCTTTGAAGTGAAGATGGGACCAACCCCTAGTCATCCATCCACTTAGTGTGGACCACTATGCCAGCTACTCTTCTGGATGCTTGGTCCTGTGACCATCTCATGGAGAAATGACAGCCAAAGTCTAGAAAACAGCTCAGGTGGTGGCTCACGCCTGTAATCCTAGCACTCTGTGAGGCTAAGGTGGGTGGATTGCGTGAGCTCAGAAGTTCGAGACCAACCTGAGCAAGAGTGAGACCCCATCTCTAAAAATAGTCAGGTGCTGTGGCAGGTGCCTGTAGTCCCAGATACTTGGGAAGCTGAGGCAAGAAAATCGCTTGAGCCTGAGTTTAAGTTTGCTGTGAGCTATGACATCAAGGCACTCTACCCAGGGTGACAAAGTAAGACTCAAAAAAGAAGAAAAAAGAAAACAGCTCAGAACTAGGAGGGTTCAGCAGAAATGCTTCAAAGAAAAGACATTAAGTGGGAGCCATATAATGGTTTCTACTCCCAAGTCAAAGCCTTCTCCTTCTGCCACAGGACAAAGTTAGGGTAAAGCTGCCGGGGCTGTCGTTAGCAAGGAGGTGATAACAGCCAGCAGTAGCCTGAGAGCCCAGGCCATGCTGGACACGCACCTGACGTGATGAAGGATCTTCTGGCACTGGTTATGGTACTGCTGGAGCCAGGCCTTGAGCTGGGTGGGGGCGACCACCAGGAGAGGGTGAACTGGCTTTCCCAGAGATATCTGAAACAACAAAATCCTGGTCAACAGCAAAATAGTTCAATAAAAATGGCCTGGAGTGGCCAAAGGTATGGCCGATTTCGTGTAAACCACCAAAATTCATAACGTCAATACATCAATCAGGTTCTGCTCTTACCAAAGCTCGTTCTCTCTGCAATAAGATCTGTAACAAGCCCTGTGAAGGAGACGAGACACAGATTAGCCTGGTCCCCACTCCGTTTTCTCCCTAGTGTTAGGGTTCTGGACCCTTCTGTTAATCACTAGCTCTCCAACACGATGGCCCTAGTGGGGGCACATCTGACCCATGAGCCTGAGAGGCAGGCAGCAAGCGATGTGGCCTATGCTGGGAAGAGAGCACAACGGCCCGGGACCCTGTGCCCTAGGAGACCAGGGCGAGGGCCTCACAACCATGCCTCTGGTGCCCACCCTTCCTCTGGCAGGCTGTGTGGGAAGGCAAGACTCAGGAAGGCAGGTGAACCCCAAACTCATCCCGCTACAGGAGACAGAGCACATAAGAAGACAAGACATTCTTATTTAGCCCAAGGAAAAGACCATCTCCTAGCAAGAAATGACCAACAAAAGCTCCTGGCAAGTTTGGGAACAGGAGGAAAGCACAGAGGCCAAAGTTCTGCAGTCCCATCTGATACTCACCGTGTGGTGATCTGCGTGTAGGTGGGACACAAACACAGCTGCCAGGCTGCCCAGGACCCTGTCCACCTCATCTCCGTAATGACGGCACAGCTGCCCAAACGTGCCTTCGCCACAGTCCAACAACAGACACTTGTCAGGGCTACAGAAAAAGAGTAAGAGATTCAACACCACAGGAATGGCTGCTGGTGGTTTAGAGAACGACGTCTGTTTCAGACAACAGGAAGCAGCTGAGGACACTCCCACGTCTTCCATAACTTCTTATGTCTTTTCTATGAGGAACTTGTAGAAAAGCCAATTAATTGAACCATGAAGGTAATTTTAGATTCTTTTATATCAAAGAATCATCCATGGATCTCGAAGCCCCTTAACATACACAGATTTTATTTTTATGCCCAGTATAAAAAAACAAAAACAAAAAAGAACACATGAGCTATGCAAATCGGAGAAGAAAGTATTTGCCTTCTAAGTTTGAATTATCTGATGCAAAATGGAAAAGCTTGCCTCATAAAACTATTGCCATTCTGAAATGAGTGATATATGTTTCAGAAAACTTGGAAAATAGTGTTCTCATAAAATAAACTGAATATAATGATTACAATGATGAAAATGATGACTCACAGCCCCAATAAGAGCAGTAGAAATATTAATGACAATAGAGTTTTAACAGTGAATAAATTGCATGTGGGTTTTAATTTTCTCTTTGACATAACCATTTTTCAAAAACTGAACTTGAACATATGTTTAATTCAGGTAAAAAGTGATTTTCTATTATATATATTATAATGAGATACATTTTATTGATGAGTTTGGTGCTATGTATCAATATATTTGTGTTTATAAAAGATAAATGTTAACGCTATTAATGCTAACTTATGGGGATACTGAATTTTTAGAAAGCTAAAAGATACTTTAAATAGTAGGTATAATTCTAAATGTAACAATCCATAAAATTATGCATAAATATTAATATGTATGTTTACATCCATGTATATATGCAGAAAAATTTAGTATGGAGATTGAAGAAAATATGTAACAGAGAGGTTAGGATTTACCAGTGTGAGTTTTGTTGGACTTTTTTGGAGAAGGAAACATTTGCTCAAGATTTACTTTGCTACAGTTTTAGTGCATTATGCTGTCTATGCCATAACCGCTTGTGAACCTAAATGCAATTTCCTAAATGTGCACCAAGGAAATATGATAAATTGCTCAGAAACCCCCCCCCCCAAAGCTCATGTGGAAGGCAAGAAGAAAACATTTACTCCTGATCATGGATTATATGCAGATTGAATGTGGCCACACCCTGTGATGAGAAAATCAGAGCCAGGTATCGTGTACATGTGAGATTGCACTTGCTGCCATGGATTCTTCCCCTTGTTAGCTGCTGGGGTCTTCCCAGCCCTGTCCTCAAAGTTGTCTGGTACAAGACAGGCTGCCTGTGCTTCTTCAGGGGAATCAGTTCATGCAAATTCCTGGGCTCCACCAAGGACTTGACTCAGTTGTTCTGGGGAATCTTAGGAGCTCTGCTGTGCAGGCCATTGCAGAAGCCCTGTTCCAAGGTGGAGAGGGTGGTGTTCCCTCGACCCTTTCTTCCTTCTCTGAAAGGAGCCATGAAGGCTGGGAGAGCTGCACCCACTTTGCAGAGAGAAGCCTCAGAACCAAGACACCACCTTCCAGTGAGAAGCTGGAGTGGGAAGGCAAGCTGGCAACATTAATAACCTCCCATTACCTGGTTCAAGTAATGCTGAACCAGGGACCAGCAGGCAGAGCAGGCCTGCTTCTGCGCCTCTCAGCCCCCAGGATAGGCCGGCTTGCTCTGAGCTGCTCTGCTGCACCTCCTCAGTCATAAGTGACACGAGCCCCAGATTTGCCTCTTTCTGAGGTCAGGGTACATCTCCTCATGGCTGTGTACAATTTAATGCATTATTTGGTTGACTGCCCACTGCGAGCATCTGAGATGACAAAGCAAAACACAAAAGCTAACTTGGTCCTTCACACTCTCATTTCTTTCACCTACTATCCCAGCACATGCACATTTCACAACACCTCTGCTGGATTAATCTCCCTGAAGATAAATGACCCCTGGCAATCCTAATCAACTAAAACATCTGTCAAGGGGAGTCCAGTAAAGAGGCTGAGGACAAAACAAATGTGCAAAACCCAAAGCCTTTTAACAAACCAGCTAGTTAGAGGGACTATATGTGTAGCAATTAAGACGCCACTTCAAATTTCAGACCTGCTGCTTACCAGCTGCAGGACCAGCGTAAGCAACCTCTCTGAGCATCAGTTTAGCAGTCATTGACACATACTCACTACTTCACAGGACTCACGTGAAAGTTAAACACGAGAATTTCTTAGCAACATGCATAAGTAATACCAACTCTTTCCCCCTGCAACTCCTTATTTACTTATTGGGCATTTTTACAAAAGGATGAAATTTGGTGATTCCCAGAACTAAAATTAGCTATTGAAGCTATAAAGTGGAATAGGGCCCATTTGTGTCCCTCTCTGAGACACTCCAGCCAAGAGGACAAGCTTAGCAAGCTCTGTATCACTGCATTTACAAATGAGGCTGGCAGCTGGGACAGGGCTTCATTTAAAAACAAGCATGCTCCCAAATGGACAGATGCTTCTGGGAAAACAGCAATACCTTATGTTGACAAGTGTGGAGCTGACATTTCGAATCTTCATTGGGATGGCAGACCCTGTTCCAAGGAAGATGACTTCTGGATATTGACTTTTTTCTAGAAAAAAATACATGTAAAATAAGCCATTTCTTTGGGTTAGGTATGAGCCAGCATTCAGCCATAAGACAGTGCTACAGTTTGGATACAGCTTCATACCATTCTCCCAGTAGAAGTGCTCACTCTGAGACTGAAGTAGTTCTTTTTCTTTTTTTGTTTTTTAAGAGACAGGGGCTGGGCACAGTGGCTCATGCCTGTACTTCTAGCAATGTGGAAAGGTGAGGGAGGTGAATTGCTTGAGCTCAGGAGTTCAAGATCAGCTGAGCAAGAGCAAGACTCTATCTCTAAAAATAAAAAATAATAATAATAAAAAAAAAAGATTTACTTTTCTTTTTTTCTCTTGTTTGAGATAGTCTTACTTTGTTGCTCTGGATAGAGGGCCGTGATGTTATAGCTCACAGCAACCTCAAACTCTTGGGTTCAAGCGATTCTCTTGCCTCAGACTCCCGAGTATCTGGGACTACAGGCGCCTGCCACAATGCCTGGCTATTTTTAGAGATGAGGTCTCTCTCTGGCTTAGGCTGGTGAGAACTCAAGAGCTCAGGCAATCCACCTAACTTAGCTTTGTAGAGTGTTAGGATTACAGGCATGAGCTACCTCGCCTAGCCAAAGAAGATTTAAATTAAAAAATAATAATAAATAAAAAAGACAGTATTTTACTCTGTTAACCAGGCTAGAGTGCAGTGGCCTGATCATAGCTCACTCACTGTAAATTTCAATTCCTGGGCTCATGCAATCCTCCCACCTCAGCCCCCCAAGTAGTTTGGGATACATGCCACGTTGCCCAGCTAATTTTTGAATATTTTTAGACAGGGTCTTGTTATATTGCCCAGGCTGATCTTGAACTCCAGTGATCCTCCCACCTTGGAAACTGGATCAGTTCTTTAAGAAATGGATTAGCTCCCAAGATAGTCGGCTGTTAAAGGCCAGACCACTCCAGTTTTCCCCCCTTTACATATGTCCACTTTCCCTTTGACCTTCTCTGCTATGTAGTGACATAGCACAAGAGCCCTCCCCAGAAGCCAAGGCCAGGACCTTGAACTTCTCAGCCTGCAGTCATGAACTAAATAAACCTCTTTCTTTATAAACTACTCAGTTTCAGATATTCTTTTATAGCAACACAAATAGACTAAGACAGACAGATGGGTGAGCAATTCAGTGAAGTCTGGCTCCCAGCAGGTCCCTGGTGACCACCTTTGTGCATAGGACTGCACAGGACTTCCTCATCAGAGTGAGATCTGCAGGCTATGTATGAGGACAGGACTGTCTGTGGGGAAGTGCAAATAAATCCTGTAGTCCTTCCTTCCAAAAAGTTGCTCTAATTCTTTTAAAGTAAAAAGGAGACTTCTTTACGCTATGATTCATTTACTTCAAAGGAGGGGTATCTACCTTGCATCCAGCTCTCACTACAAACCCATGGCCTCCCTGCATCTTCACAATACTACCAAGTAGGGAACGCTCTGCTTTACAGGGAAGGAAACAGGCTCAGAGAGCCAGGGCTACACGGAGGATTCAAATCCACGGAAACCTGATGACTCCAAAGCCCGGGCCCCTTCCTTACCCTCACCTAACCTGAGAGGCCTCCTCCGCAAATCTATAAGCACCTCAAGAGTATCCTTTCACATACACAACAGAAAACCTATCCAACAGCAAGGAAAGCAACTCCTACGAGTCCTCCCAAGCACCTATGGGAAAGCCCCTCAAAGAGGAGGAGCACTCTGCCAAATAACCCCCTAACCCACCTTTCAGTCCAATGTTCTATTTCCATCACTAGTAAGAACATTTACACTAAGGAAACCTGCAGCAGGAGCAGAGGTCCCAGGTGGTGCCTATGGCTCAGTGGGCAGGGTGCCGGCCCCATATTCCAAGAGTGGCGGGTTCGAACTCGGCCCTAGCCCTGGCCAAACTGCAACAAAAAGATAGCTGGGCATTGTGGTGGGCACCTGTATCCCCAGCTATCAGGGAGGCTAAGGCAAGAGAATCACCTAAGCCCAAGAACTGGAGGTTGCTGTGAGCTGTGAGGGCGATAAAGTGAGACTCTGTCTCAAAAAAGAAAGAAAGAAAGAAAAAGAGCAGAGGTCCCAAGTTCCCTAACTACGTTTTCTGTTGAGGCAGTGAAAGCCCAAAACACTGTGACTTGGCCGAAATCTTCCACAGAGACTTATCAGCAAATCTGGAACTGGGTCCCAAGGCAGCCGAGTCCCTATTCAAAGCTCCCTCCACAGGTTCTCACAGGCGTTCCCCTCATGCTGTTTCACTCAGCATGTACCTTGTAAACATGTCTGGGCATCATCAAAAGTGCTCTGATTTAACTGGTCTGGGATGGGGTATAAACAATTGGGATTCTTAAATTCCCCAACTCTCCCTGCCATGGCTATAAGTCTTAATACAGCCAGAAAAAAGAAAAAGAATATGCCCTGTTAATGCTCTACTTAATGTTATGAAAATACAGCAGGGGGCACAGCCCAGGGAATAAAGGCTGGTGGTCTACCACTCACCTGCTTGGTTTGGGACATCCTGTGCACTCTTCCTATACTCCTGCACGCTCTCCTGGAAATTGGGAAGCTCCAGGGCCTCAGCTTTAAATTCATCAGGATTGCATGTAATAATGGCATCCCTGTAGGGAGAGAAGCATTTCTGATGACTGGGGGGCAAGGGGGCTGTGTCCTCAGCAAACACCAGGCTGGATATCCAGAAGAGATTCATGGGGACAATCTTCAGATGGTTCTTTCAAATTATGGTCCAAGGCAAAGCATGTCTGTTCTATTGTTCTTTGCTACCTTTCTCTACTGAGAAGGAAGGGGTAAGCTGAGGGTATTCTGAATAACTAGCTCATCGGAACATTCCTCAGCCTCCAAAGCCGCACAACCAGGCACTACTAATGCTCAGGACAGGACAAACTCACTGTGGTGAGGGCTGTCCTGTGCAGTATCCCCACCTCTACCTACTTCTCTCCCACCCTCCACTGACCCATATAGTGACAACTCAAATGTGAAAAATATCTCCAGACATTGCTGATTGTCCCCAGGGCTTCAGGGGAGCAAAATCATCCCAGATGAAAAGCAGGATTCTAGAGCAGTGACTCTCCAACTAATCCCAGGGGAACTGTGTTAAACAGTGGGACCCAGTTTGGGGCTCTGGGGTTGAGCCTCCTGCAGCTCTAGCAACCCCCAGAATATTCTGCTTGTCCTGACCACAGCTAAGTAGCACCGCCCTCGATCTGGTGGCTATTCAGTCTGGATGAGCACTAAAATCACCCAGGATCTTACAAAGTGTGTCCTCAGCCTATTTCTCAAGATTCTCGTTCAGTGGGTCTGGGACAGGCCCAAGAACAATATGAAGCTGAACTGGCACTGACTAGCATCACGTAAACACTGCTTTACGTCGCAGCCTGTGCAGATGCTGACAGAGGGACAGTAGGCGCCTCTACCCCAGGATGCTGCCTGTGGGCCTGCAACGTACTACCAGACACCTGAAGGGCCCCAGTTGCTCAGCCACCACAGCATGTGGTACCCAGCACTCATCTGGAACATGGCCTATTCTGATCAGACATAGGAAGTGGAGGGGATAGAAAACTTAAAGTTGTTCAAAGTTCAGACCTTAAAAGTTAAAGATGTGACGCAATAAGATTTTTCACTTTACCAGCTGAAGTTAACTGGGAGAGGCTTTTCAAATAGTAATTTATATTTACCAATGCCTTAAGAAGTATCGTACTCTGACCCAGAAATCCCACATTTAGGAACTGCCTTAAGGAAACAAGGTTCCATTCAAGGATTTCTATAAGAGACATTTATTGTTTCATTGAAACAGAAAAAAATTGGATACATCCCCAGTGAGTAAACATCCCTATCTGGAACCAAAATCCTGTTGCTGAGGACTATTTAATGACACAGGAAAATACAATGTCAGGCCATAAACTGGTAGCTTATATTTAAAAAAAAAACAAAACAAACCACATCCCCATATACACAAATTTTAAAAACATATAACATTAGCAATCATTGTCTCTGGGTGACAAGATTATGGGTGAGTTTTTTCATCATCATACATTACTTACTTTCCACTTTTTTTTTTTTTTTTTGAGACAGTCTCAAGCTGTCACCCTGGGTAGAGTGCCATGGTGTCACAGCTCACAGCAACCTCAAACTCCTGGCTTAAGTGATTCTCTTGTCTCAGCCTCCTAAGGAGCTGGGACGACAGGCACCCACCACAATGCCTGGCTATTTTTTGGTTGTAGTTGTCATTGTTGTTTGCCAGGCCGGAACTGGATTTGAACCTGCCAGCTCTGGTGTATGTGGCTGGCACCTTAGCTGCTTGAGCTACAGGCACTGCTGCTACTTTCCATATTGTTAAATATTGAACCTGATCATTGTTATCACCCAGGACAACAGTCTTAGAACAGGATGAGCACTGGCCCCAGTCCTCCCCTCTCAACCCAGCCCAGTGTCAGGCTGTTTTCTAAATAGACACGTATGGGCCCACGGCCAGGCCCCTCATTTGCATATTGTCTGTGGCTCTTTGGTGCTATCGAGGCAGCAGTGAGCAGCTACCTAGAAGCCACGTGGCCTGAGAAGCCCCCTGAAATATCCACCGTGTGGCCAGATTCAAACCCTGACCCAGAGGAGTCTACCAGTTAGAACGGCCCTGACCTCTGCCACTCCCTCCTGGGCCGGAGCTGGTACTTGAGGAGGCATTCCCCACGAACCGCGGGCACATGGAGGGCAGCACCTTCTTCCTACAAGAAACAAAACACACCCCATGGAGAGAGAGAAAAGGGAACAGGAGCCAGGCCCGTGGGACCATCCTGGGGCACTACCTTACAGGGGAAACTGGTGAGCGAGGGGAAGATGCCAGGGTGGATGAGGCTGAGCTGCGTTTGGATCTTGTGGCTGCGGAGGTTGTGAACGGAGGCACAGTTCTCATTCAGGATCAAGTGCTGGGTGTGAGGCCCAAACCTAGAATGAGACAGAGACATTCACCTTGTCACTGCATGGCCCTGAGGGGCAGCACTGGAGATCAGGGGCCCTCATGCTGATGCAGCACTCACAGCTGAGTGATACACTGGTAAGTACTGTCACTAAGAGCCCAAACATGGTCCTCTTCCTGTCTGAGGCCACTGTTCACTCCCTACCTCAGCTGCCTCTCAGGTGAGCTGGAAAGAGTGTAGAAAAACCAAGAAAAATTAAGGTATGCAGGGCCTACAGAGAGGGATGGAACCAAATGGGGAAGGGACCTGAAAGGAATACAGGTAACAGATGTTAAGACCCAAACTCTGGTGGAGCAAAAGCTGACACAGCTAGAGAGCAAGAGACTGCAGGGGCACACTGGGCCGAGGGCCGTGGGGGGACACGGGCAGGGGGAGCAGCCTAGGTCTCCACACACCAGGTTCCACTCAGACCCTGCCATGGGAGGCTGGCCTTGGCCAACGATGCCACCAAGCAAAGGTAACTGGCCTGTCCTTCCAGTTACTAACCGTGGTAGAACACACTGCTCCCGGTGCTGGGAAGAAGGGAGGGAATGAAGAGAATCGTAGGGTCCAACACAGCTTTGGAAAATGGAAGCTATTATTTTATATTTGCAAGTCTCTTCTTTAGCACTCACATATGGAACCATCACTCAAAAGGCAGTATTTATTCAGATGCCGAGAGCACTCGGGGTGTAAACTGAGGCAAGAGCCAGCCCCATGCGAGCAAGGCACGTGTGCAGGCCCTCGCCACCTAGCAGCTTTGTTGCAAATGTGGCCCAGGTGTGTGCCCAGAGCTCAGGGAGGGCAGGAGTCCCAGAGGAGTTTAGGTAGGTGCAGAAAGGGAAGTGACAACTCAAGGAATGAGGAGAGGAGAGAGGGGAACCCAGTGCGGCCAGCAGGAGGGCGGGGAGCCATACCTCTCCATCCACTGCTGGTACCTGTGGTCCATCAGCACAGATTCTGGGGCCATGTGAACCACCAAGGCCACGGGGGCATCGGCCTCTCCCTGGTACCTGTGTGGAAGAAGAGTGGGGCTCTGCTTCATAAAGAGATCTGTACTCGGGACACACACTCACGGGGACTATACCTTAGGGAGGCCTCAGCTGGGCTCTCTATACTGCAGTGAGCTGCCAGCCTCCAGGCCCAAGTCATGCTCTCCCTGCCCCAGCTCTGGGCACTTCCCACCTAAGGCAAGCTCTGCTCCAGGCCTTGTGGGCAGTCAGGCTCAGCCCTGTCAGCACTGTGCTGTGTTGTGACCTCAGGCTCCTCCCGTCCCCTACATTCATAGGGCTCAGACCTGCAGAGCTGGACAAAGGCTCTCCCTGCCTACTCTGCTCCCTCTCTCCTTCCCTTCTCACAGGGCTTCCCTCTCATAAATTTCCTGCATCTCCAATGCTACCTCAGTGCTACTGGCTAGAGAATCTGAGACATGGGCATGGAAAAAGAGAATCATCTGGCTGGGTACAGAGGTCCACGCCTCTGGGAGGTGGATGAACTGCTTGCACTTACGAGTTTGAGACCAGCCTAAGCAAGAGCGAGACCCCATCTCTACCAAAATTAGAAAAAACTAGCAGGGAGTGTTGGCAGGTGCCTGTAGTCCCAGCTACTTGGGAGGCTGAGGCAACAGAATCACTTGAGCCCAAGAGTTTGAGGTTGCTGTGAGCTGTGACACCACAGCACTCTACCCACCAGAGTGACAGAGTGACACTATCTCAGGAAAAAGAAAAAGAAAATGAGAATCATCTGAAATTCTGCGACACAGAGAGAAGACCACATACTAATATGTGGATGTGGTTCCTTCTAGTTCCCTTTAAAAACAAATACCCAAAGTAGCAATTTTTATTTACTCTCCCCTACCACCATCATACATGGTACATAGCTCTCAAAACCTTGGCTAGTGACTTGAAGTAGCTTTGCTGCACAAACCTTGATTTAAAAAATACAAAGACTATGCCACCAGGGTACCCAAATTCCCTCAGAGGATGAAGTGGACCCAGAAAGAATTTCTAACCCCTTACTTGGAAGGGCACAGCAGCACAAAAGGATTTGTTGTATAAATAAAGTAAAAAAATATAGGTAAATAAAAATTAAGAACAACAAAAATATAGATATACCATTGAGAATGGGAGAAAAAATTAAAACACAGATATGTGGGTCAAAGATTCTACCCAGGAATAAAGCTAGACTGTAAAACTGGTTAATACTTTTTTGGAGGACAAATCAGAGTGGTACTTGGGCCTGAGAGATGTCCCTTGGCTGATTTGCCTCTTAATAGACTTCTGACCAAGACAGTCTCAAACAGTCCAATTTACCTCAATAGCTACAATGTAGAAAAGTTATAAAAATTCATTCAGGTAACAATAATCTAAATAATAATTTGGAGCATGAATTAGAACTCAGAAAAGTTTTGCAAGTTATTCTAGAGTTCAGCTTAATTTCCTAGCCCTTAGGAGTTTCTGGTTTTCAATCTTTTCCAATTTCGCTTCAAGGCTATGTACATCACAAAGTCCACTGACTACCAAGAGCAACCTAAATCCTGCCAGCAGGCCTGACCCAGAGCTTCATTCAGACCCAGATGATGGACTTTTTGCAGAGACGAGGCTCTGTCCACAGATGCCTATGTTGACACCGGTCCCTGTGTTCTCCCACCCCAGAGACCCCTCCATTACCTCTTAAAGGTGGCATTCTCACAGATGGGTTGAATGAATCCTTCATCTGGACATTCTACTACAATAAAAGCAAGACCAGGATCTGGGGGAGTACAGAGCTCTTCAGGCAAAATCTGCAAAAATCAATTATAGCAGCACACTGGGGTCATGATGTCATCACTATCCCAGAACAGAGTCACTGCTTGGCAACCAAACTGAATGGCAACTGCCAATATGATGTGTCCCTACCCAGCAAGCCAAGAGAGGAACAAAGAGCACAGAGCCAGCCGTAAGGGTCCCCACCTACACCCTTCCTGCTCTGTGTATACTTAGAGACGGGCAACTATCTTTGCAGAGGTATCTCAAATCTGCAGTGGCTAGGAAATGAGGTTTGGTACTAAGGTCCTCTTCAGTCTGTGGCCACTGGTCCCTAACATCCTTAGGAGCCAGAGAAAACACTTTGATGAAGAACACAGTGGCAGCCATCCCTTTGGAACACGCACCAGGCCCATTTGCACGGGGTCTGCTGTTGGATGCTGCCCTGAGCTCCAGCACCAGGGAGAGCACCCACCTTTCATGAGGAGGCATCAAAACCTACATGGACAACCCACAGAAATCCCCACACTGCCAGCACTGGCACACAGGACAAGGCTAGACAAGACAGCCTCCTCATCACTTAGCCAAGTGACAGGATTCCAATTTGCTCTATTCCTTCAGAAGTGAGGCTTAAACCAGATACTGACTCTGTCCCAGGTTCCAATTGTAACTGCTGAAGCATTCAGAAAACCTGGCATCTTACCACTCTTCCTTCATAAGTGACACTTTTCCCGTCCTTGACAGCAGCAATGATGGGAGCAATGGCAGCTGTCCCACTGAAAGGAAGAGGCAAGCCCCAGTGAGATGCGTTTTCCCTAGGCACAGAGGTGTGCCTGGCACGTCCCCAACACCCTCCTTGACACTCACACTGGGAGGCCGAGCTCCTTCGCTTTGAGCACCAAGAAGTTTCCTTTCTTTAAGTGAAGCTGCAACAAAGAGAATGTGAGTGTGATTTCAGTGGCCAGTGGAGAAGCTGATTTCATCAGTTTTCTTAGAAGTATACCTTTCAGAGTCTTTAAAATTAATGCCATATTCTGAAGTCATGTGTTTTGAAATGCCTGAGTACTAAAACCCAAATTATAAAAAAGCACAGCGCTTTATTTCCCAACGTCAGCTCACTACAAATTTAACACGATGTAACTGATTTCAATATCAAAGTACAAAGTCAGAGTTCTCACGTGTTCTCGAGGAGAAACACCGTTCTATCATTCTGCATCATCAGTGCATCGTATAGGAGCATCACCAGATCGATGTCCAACAGAGCAATGACCAAGCAAATTCTGCATATCACAATATTCCAGTGACAGGGTAACGAAAGGATGAATGATTTTTATTTTCTCCTGTATTTTTCAAATATTTGGCAAAATATTGTTGTTGCTTTTATAATTAGAGAAAAATTATAATACAAAATTCCCAATATGTCCTTATTATACTAGAAGAGCAAATAATAACCCTATCATAAAACTTTAAGTCAGAAAGGGCATGAAATGTTAATAGGTCCTTCAATGTTGAATTACATTTGATTTTCATTTTCTTCTTTAAATTTTTTTTTTTTTTCGAGACAGAGTTTCATTATGTCGCCCTTGGTAAGAGTGCCATGGCATCACAGCTCACAGCAAGCGATTCTCTTGCCTCTGCCTCCCGAGCAGCTGGGACTACAGGTGCCTGCCACAATACTTGCTATGTTTTTTTTGGGGGGGGTGGGTTGGAATTGTCATTGTTGTTTAGCAGGCCCGGGCCAGGCTCGAACCCACCAGCCTCAGTGTATGTGGCTGGCACCCTACTCACTGAGCTACATGGGCTGAGCCTCTAAATCAGCGGTTCTCAACCTGTGGGTAGAGACCCACAGGAACTATATCAAAGGGTCGCGGCATTAGCAAGGTTAAGAACCACTGCTCTAAATCTTTTTCTTTGTTTGAGATACAGTCTTACTCTGTTGCCCCAAGCTAGAGTGCCATGGTGTCAGCCTAGCTCACAGTAACTTCAAACAAGTGATCTTCTTGCTTCAGCCTTTTGAGTAGTCAAAGGGGGTACTACTTTGGGAATGCAGGCATACATCACCACACCTGGCTAATATTTCTATTTTTTTAGTAAAGATGGGGGGCTTACTCTCGCTCAGGCTGGTCATGACCTCCTGACCTCAAGTAATTCTCACCCCCCCATCCTCCCTAAGTACTCGGATTACAGGCACGAGCCACCTGCCCCACCACCTTCTTTAAATCTTGATGAACTATTTGTATTTTCTTTTAATTTCCTAAAATATGTTGAGGAGTTACTCCTAGGGCAAAGAATCAAATTTACATCCTAAAGTCTTTTTCTCAGGATTCTAGAATTTTCCACTTGGAAAAATATTATTCTAAAGTAAGAATTACAGCTTTAGTGAGTTCACATCACACAAAGATGATCAAGTTGGCTGGCATCTTTAGAAAATGACATTAACAAGCACTGTCTTGATCAGACATTCTCTCTACACATCCAAAATGACTTTGAGGCTGGCAACTACACATTTCTAATGTTTAAAAGTAGCTTATAGACCTAAAACTAGGGAAACCCATCCTTCCATGAGCCAAATTCAACCCACAGAGATCTGCTCCCATCTGAGGAATGCACAGCATCTGAAAGGCGGCTGAGAAGCTGCGCACAGGCCAGCAAGGCACTGCCCCGAGCCCACGCTCTTTCTTCAGATGAGCTTCTCAGGGCCTCAGGCCTGGAGCCTCCCAGAACTTGCACCAGCTCAGCTCTACCGCTTTCCAAACCCTCCACTGAAAGCAGCCAATTATTGGAAGAAGGAAAGGGGCTACAGGCTGACCTAGTAACAGCAGCCCTCAGAAGTGGCAGCAGACAGCAGGGAAGGAGCCCGAAAGCCAGGTGGGCAGCCGGCAGCTCCTGAGAGTCAGGGCCTGCAGCTCCCAGGACCAGGGGCTTGGAAACAGGGCACCCGGCAGAGTGACAGGGAGCATGTACCACGCAAAACGCACCTCAGCACGCCCGGGGTCAGCCGTGCAGGAAGGCAGCAATACAATTTGAAAGCTAATATAAATTAATGTTAAAGATTATTTTCCTGCCTGTACACTCAGAAACACATAAGCAATGAGTCTACTGGCAATAGTACTTAACCTTTATATAATTGCAACTTATCATTCAAATAGACAAAAATGATACTAGCAATAATCCTGCAACTGATATTTCTAATTCCCCTTCAAAATTCTTTTCACTTGTAGGCATTAGAATCTGGATAAAATTTCCAAACACTTTTTTTTCAGACAGAGTTTCACTTGTCGCCCTTGGTAAAAGTGCCCTGGCATCATAGCTCATAGCAACCTCAAATGCTTAGGCTGAAGCAGTTCTCTTACCTCAGCTTCCCAAGTAGCTGGGACTACAGGCACCCGCCACAGCAGCCGGCTATTTTTAGAGATGAGGTCTCACTCTTGCTCAGGCTGGTCTCAAAACTGTGAGCTCAGGCAATCCACCTGCCTCAGCCTCTAGAGTGCTAGGATTACAGCCATGAGCCACCACACTCAGCCCCAAACATATTTTAGAATCAACATTACTTTTTTGTTGTTTTTGATAACAAAGAAATTTTATTTAGGAAGAACAAAGAGAAAGTTTAGAGCAATTCTAAAGTTGAAAGTGGGTCTCATCATGGAGAAGGTGAGAAAGACCAACATAACTTGTTCAAAAAAAAAAAAAATCAAAGCCTACGAAAGGACATGTAGTCATTTTACATTAGATGAAAATATTTTTATAGATTGTATTTTAATAAAATTTTAATGCAAAGTTCTATTAACAGTAAGCCATTCATCAGATCTTACAAATCGCTTACTGTAATAAAAATGTTTAATGGAATTTAATCAACTTCAGAGGTGCAGGTCTGGGCCCTTGTGAGTGATAGCTAATATTAAAATTGATCTGATGTCAGACCTTAACTACTGCAGAGAAATGAAATAAACTGAAACGGAGTTGAAAGAGTCTGAATTATAGATTTGAAGGGAAAAAACCATACCACAGCCTTCAATAATTTCTGAATTCTAAGAAGACCAATTATAGACAAATATTAATATAAATGAATATTGTCCAGAGACTGATAGAGCCCTGGAAGACAATTTAAAAGGACATAAAATACAGTAAGTATTTTAAGAAATTGGTATCTGTGTTTCTTATTGGCACAGGTTAACTCAGGAGCTTCTACTTCTGAATTTCTTAAAATGTACTAGTCAAAGGCTGCTGACCAAGCCCAAGGTCACACACAACCCCATGGAAAGGTGCTCTTACCTTACAGACAAAAGCTACAACCAAGGAAGGGTCCCTGCCATTCCCTTTCTGGCTGATACCTGAGGAAAAACACACTTGATTACAACAAGGTAATGTGAAGGTTGCACAGATGGCACAAATAAAATCACCTGATACCTAGTTTTACTGTACATACAAATTAAATGAATGGTGCTGTCCCACTACAAAAGTTGAAGACACTGGGTGGCGCCTGTGGCTCAGTGGGTAGGGCGCCAGCCCCATGTACTGAGAGTGGCAGGTTCAAACCCGGCCCTGGTCAAACCACAACAAAAAAAAATAGCTGGGCATTGTGGTGGGCGCCTATAGTCCCAGCTACTCGGGAGACTGAGGCAAGAGAATAGCCTAAGCCCAGGAGTTGGAGGTTCCTGTGAGCTATGTGATGCCACGGCACTCTACCAAGGGCAACAAAGTGAGACTCTGTCTCTAAAAAAAAAAAAAAGTTGAAGACACTAATATTCTCAAGCAGATCTTTCTTCCTCTACTTATTTGAGCTGTACTTGGGTAAATGGAAGACACAAAATTCTTTCCAGAAAAACTTTAGAATAGCAAGTCAATTTTTTTGTTTGAAACAGGGTCTCACTCTGTCACCCTCAGTAAAGTGCTGTATGGTATAACTGTAGCCCACAGCAACCTCAAACACTCAAGCAATCCTCCTGCCTTAGTCTCTAAGCAGCTGGGAATATAGGCACCTGCCAAGATGTCTGGCTAGTTTTTATGTTTCTAGTAGAGAGGGCTCTTGCTTTTGCTCAGGCTGGTCTTAAACTCCTGGATCATTCCACTTCAGCCTCCCAGAGTGCTAGGATCACAGGCATGAGCCACCATGCCCAGCCACAGGTGAATTTTTTAAAAATGATTTTAAATGACACATTTTATCAAGGACTAGAAAAGAGAGAGGAAAAAAAATAGAACGTGCTTTATAACACATGTAAAAATATGTGAAATAACATGAAAGCTAAAAGGTTTGCAGAAAAGTGTATGTTTTGGTCTTCACCCTGTGCTATCCCAAAAAAGGGACAGCGTACAGGGTTGGCCTTTTCTAAGGCACCAGACAGACATGACCTCAGGATAGAAAGAAGAAAGTCTTGTCAAGCTTTGCTAGCACTGTCCTTCTATCAAGAACAACAGACTCCTTCAGCAGTCCAACCCCTCTGATATATCTAATCCTGGACTTTTAACTCAGTTTCCCAGTACGCTGTCATTTTGGAAGAAAGGGTGCAGATCCTTTCATTGATTTGACTGTCTTGTCGGCTTAGCAGTTATAGTTCCTGCATTAATGAAAAACTAATTTGCATTAATGTCCCATTAATGAAAAGAAAAATATAAAAGCCTGCCATACCCATCAGTTTGCAGGCTCTGTTCTCCCCTCACCAGGCCCAGGTAGGTGCCAAACTATTGGCCTTTACAGTTCCCACCACCCTCCTCACTCTCTCCACAGACAGAGTCACAAAGTGTCCAGGAAGAAGAATCTGTTTTATGCACACGGCTTCCTTCTAACAAAGAACATGCAAGTCTTCCTGGTGTTTTGTTTGTACTTTACCAAGTGGAAGGTGCTGCTTGTTTTCAGCTGACCCAGAGTCTGAAGACTGATCTGGACTGAGCCTGCCGAGAGGTCTATCTGGACTCTGAGATGGCTGGTGCTGGTCAAAGTTTCGCTCACCTGGGCAGTAGAGGACACCACCAAATTACATGCTGACTAAACAGCGTGCAGGCTTTAGCCTTCATGGATCCATTATTACCATTCTCGCTAAACACTTGGATGCCCAAAGAGTACCCATCTCCAGAAAGAGTGTCATTTTGCAGTTAAATCTCAAGGTCAAGATAAAAAATTCATGGCTCTAAGAAGCTAAAGCGCAGCGATGGTCTCAGAAGTCGTGCTTGCCCCTTTTGGTACACGCACTCATTTAAGGTGTGCTGGGGCCCTGGGGAAAAAAGGATCAGCAAAATAAAAAATCAAATCCTGGAGAAAAGTAAACTGTAATGAGCAACAGAGGTAAGAACAGGGAGCTGGAAAGGAACAACTGGGGGTACACAACTCTGGTGGGGTGGGAGCAAGGGTCAGGCACGAGGAGGCTTCTGACCAGGAGTGAAGCAGGCCAGGGCAGTGCTGCCCAGCAGTCTGCTTGCAGCCCACAGGCGTTCCTGCCTCGCTCCAGCCATGCCCTCTCCAGCCTCTTTTGCCCCAGAGCCAGCGCAGGCCCTGCCTCTCTGTCAAACGCCGGACTTCTCTGGCCTTTGTTGGGCACTTGCGTCTGAACGTCCCTGCTGCTTTGTCCTCTCTTCACATAGGTAAAACTGGACACAGAACATGTTTAGGACGAGACTGACACGCGCTGGTTCCTCAGTCACACCCACACCATCTGGCTCCAGAACCCACAGCTCTGTGGAAGCTTCTGACCCCTAACCCCCTAACCGCACTTCTTTTAGTTTGCAGTTATCAAGATTTATTAAAAAAGTATTTATCTGTGCAAATCTCTCCAGAAGCCTCTCGTCAAAGGAGGGTACTGATGTCTGTGCCAAATAAACCCTACGCAGTGAATGTGCAAATCTGTGTGCAATCTATTTTCTGACCGTGGTTGATCATGTAATATTCCAAAGCATAATCACTATCATCATATTTGAGTTAAATGTGTCTGTTCATAAGACTAAAAGCTCCTGAAGGGCAGGAACTATATCTTAACTCCTTAGCTAAATTTCCTATTCATGCTCAGAACACAAAACAGGGTGCCCAACACAAGTATTCAAGCAGTCTCTGGCTTTACCCACATTTTCTTACTTAGGCCCCCCATCATCCTAGGAGATCAGGTGTGCATACTCACTATATATGGGAATCTGGTAAACAGTCATGGTCTCGTCCTTGTATTCTGGGGCAGAGTGGGGCCGCACAGCTACGTGAAAAACACACAGCAGAAAAGTGACTGGTTAGTAAAGATGTGTGAACATTAACTTCCAAGTCTACCAATCACTTAAGTAACTGAAACCACTAAACCCGAAAGTCTGAATAGATTAAAATGTTTATGCGAGAAACAAATGTGTTTATGTCAGTCACTTATATTACCTACAGCCAAATAAAAAGATATGTTTTGGGTGGCACCTGTGGCTCAAGGAGTAGGGCGCCCGCCCCATATATCGGAGGTGGTGGGTTTGGATCCCGCTGCTGGCCAAAAAAAAAAGAGATATGTTTTGAGCACTGGTGACTATACATTAAAAAAATTATTTTAAAACTAGGAGGTGCCCATAGCTCGGTGGCTAGGGCACCAGCCACATACACCAAGGCTTGTGGGTTCAAACCCAGCCCAGGCCTGCTAAATAAAACTGCAACAAAAAAATAGCATAGTGGTGGGTGCCTGTAGTCTCAGCTACTTGGGAGGCTGAGGCAAGAGAATCACTTAAGCCCAAGAGTCTGAGGTTGCTGAAAGCTGTGATACCATGGCCCTCTCCCGAGGG